GTAGGAAGATGACAGGAGAGGGGCAGCCTATTCACATAATAGGAGATATCCTCTGTGAAATGGTAAGACTTCATATTATTTATACAATAAACTCCAACATGAGATAGAAAGCCTATCTGGGCTAAAATATATTGGTTCTTGAAATTGATGGAGGGATGGCTGAGGGGGAGGTTATATTGTTGAGACCCATAGTTTATCATTGTCAGAAGAGTGATTAAGTCTTTCAAGGACTCTCTCTGAATGCCATGAAATTAATGGTACATGTATATACATTCATCTTTTCAACTTAACTGTAAACATATGAAAGCTTTCCAATCGATACATTTTTCAAGAAATAAAACCACCCCGAAAATATTTTGATCCTCACAACTTTTTATGTCCCCACCACATAGTGTGGGGCCATATTGTCGGCCTAGGCGCGTCCGTCTGTCCGTCCGTCTGTCCGTACGTCCGGGAGTTTTCTCCAAAACTGCTACAGATATCACCTTCAAATTTTCAGGGATAACTTATGAGTGCATACAGATGTGGATGAAAAAATTTTAACTCGATACCTACTTCCTGTCGGCCATTTTGAAGTCAAATGCTAAAATCCTTGTCTGCAAACTTTAAGAAAAACGGCTTCACAGTTGCTTTTAAAACTTTAACATCTTGTTCAGCCCACTTCATTCTAGATCTGATTAGGTTTTGGACCTGTTAGCTCAGTCATGTCAGCCATTTTGAATGTCTTAAGAAAAGTTAGCGCACGATAATACTTTGTATCATATTGAATGGTGTTTTTGAGTTTTCATACTTTAACTATTAGTAGCTTTATAAATAATTTCAGATCTACTTTGTTGTAAAAGCCTATGTTATTGTTAACAGTAGTAATATGTGATAATTTTGTAAGAAGAAATCAGCAAAAACACATAATCACTTTTTTATTGTCGGCCATTTTGGATTTTTCCGTCCTAAAATCTTGTCTGTGAAGTCTTGTCTACATGTTTTCAGGTGAACCGTTTGGTGGATCAATTTCAAATTTTCAGGGATGATTCTTAGTATAAAAATCTAGATCTGATTTGTTTTTTGGCATTCTGGGTAAATGTCAAGGCAGCCATTTTGGATTTTCCGTCCTAAAATCTTGTCTGTAAAGTCTTGTCTACGCGTTTTCAGGTGAACCGTTTGGTAGATCAATTTCAAATTTTCAGAGATGATTCTTAGTATGAAAATGTAGAACTGATTAGTTTTTTGGCATTCTGGGCAAATGTCAAGGCAGCAATTTTGGATTTTCTGTCCTAAAATCTTGTCTGTAAAGTCTTGTCTATGCATTTCCAGGTGAACCGTTCTGTAGATCAACTTTTAGGGATGATTCTTAGTATGAAAATCTAGATCTGAATAGTTTTTTGGCATTCTGGATAAATGTCAAGGCAGCCATTTTGGATTTTCCGTCTTAAAATCTTGCCTGTAAAGTCTTGTTTACGCGTTTTTAGGTGAACCGTTTGGTAGATCAATTTCAAATTTTCAGGGATGATTCTTAGTGTGAAAATCTACATCTGATCAGTTTTTTGGCATTCTGTGTAAATGTCATGGCAGCCATTTTGGATTTTCTGTCCTAAATCTTGTCTGTAAAGTCTTGTCTACGCGTTTTCAGGTGAACCATTTGGTAGATCAATGTCATATTTTCAGGGATGATTTTTAGTGTGAAAATCTACATCTGATTAGTTTTTTGGCATTCTGTGTAAATGTCATGGCAGCTATTTTGGATTTTCTGTCCTAAAATCTTGTCTGTAAAGTCTTGTCCACGCGTTTTCAGGTGAACCATTTGGTAGATCAATGTCATATTTTCAGGGATGATTCTTAGTATGAAAATCTAGGAACAGATTAGTTTTTTGACATTCTGGGTAAATGTCAAGGAAGCCATTTTGGATTTTCCATCCTAAAATCTTGTCTGTAAAGTCTTGTTTACATGTTTTCTAGTTAACTGTGTGACGGATCAATTAAAATTATGTTGGTAAAGTCTTGTCTACTCATTTTCAGGATAACCATTTGATGGGATCACCCATTGGTGGGGACATTTTGTACACATTTGTGTTCTTGTTTTAAGTTCATTTAGTAGCTAGAACTTGCTTAACCATGTCTCACTGTATTTGTTCCTCTTCCAGTTGCCCCACATGACTCCCTACATCAGGTTCTGTGGCTGCCAGTTAAATGCTGCATCACTTATTCAGAACAAGACAGAGAATGACTCACATTTCAAGGAGGTTGTAAAAGTAAGTTTCATTTCCTGCAAAATTTGTACAAGGTGGACAAAAAATGTGACACTCACATTATAATCTATTTATAAAAGTCCTGATATGAACCAAATGTCATGAATACTTCTAAGAATGATACAAAGTGTGCCATTTTTATTGCCCACTCTGTATATTGTTGACAAATTATGCAGCACTGACTAATCTGTGCAATTCCAATGAAATGTACAGATTGCTTGGAATTAATAGTAAGTTAAATATCCTCAAATGTAGTGCCATCTTTTTCTCCATGATGTTGAACGATTTTTTGGCCAGGGGGGTCCATCGAACCCCCCCCCCCCCCCCCCTGGCTACGGGCCTGTCTAAAATGGATAGTTCAACAAAGGAATAAACTGCAGGTTCTACATAGGTAAAAGCAAATGCACAAATCATTAAGCAATAACACTTAATTAATACAGACTTCAATGAACACTCAAGGGGAGAAGAAATAAATCTAGTAGTGCAGTGGTTAGCTAGCTTACCCTTTTCTCAGCGGGAGCGGGTAGCTTAGATTTATTAGAGACCTTAAGATATACGGATGACCTGTACGTGTACCTGTAATTACACGTACACGTACAGGTTTTTTTAAATGTTCCTTTTGTGCGCCTAAAACAAGTCCTTAGTCACTCGTCGACGTGTACGTGTACGAAACAAGGAATTAGTGGGTATCTGGTGATGAAAGTATGATATTTTAAATCGGCCTACACACATGTCAGCCTGCCGGTCTGCCAACATGTCGGCCTGTAAAATTGCCGGTCTGCCAGCCTGCCTGCATTCCGATCTGTCAGACTCCAAGTCTGTCGTTCTGTCTGCCAGCCTGTCGGTCTGCCAACCTGCCGGTCTGTCATGATCAGACCGCCCACCTGTCTGTCTACAGTAGTTCGGCCTACTTTTTTTCGTTCATGAATTATTATCTTTCTAAATCCTAAGTTTTGGGCTCAAACAAATTTGCAAAATTTGGATTTTTTTGTTATATTTGAAAAATTTTTTTGGTTTTATTTGAATTTTTTTAAAATGAATTCAAACAGTAATTTGAAAGAAATTAAAAGAAAAAAATGCGACAAAAAATTTGAACAAAAAAAAGAATTTTGATTAAAAAGTGATATTCGATGGTTTGGGACATTTTTTGCTAAAATATGATATCTTAATCCACATATCAAATATATATCTTCACGTGATATTCGATCTTTATCCTTGCAACCATGGGATAATATAGGAATATCTTATGGTTTTGTAAAAATATCATTTATATCCATGAGTGGATATATGATATCTTCATGAGCGCAGTTGATGAGTGACGATATTGTTATCAATGAATGGATATAAATGATATTTTTTTAAAACCATTGGATTGTCCGTTTATCCCAGGGAAATCATTACGCATTAATGTCCATGAGTGGATATATGATATCTTCACAAGTAAGTGCAGTGAATGAGAAAAGATATTGATATCCATGAGTGGATATAAATTATATTTTTCCAAAACCATAGGATTGTCCGTACATACATATATATCCCCCGCTGTATATCTCTCGCTCCAATGTTCCGGAGAAAACGTTTTTGTTCAGTGTAGAAACAGTCAATTCTTTATATGTTATATCTTGCAAAAGCGAAACTGTCAAAATGGATGCAGCAGACGGTAGCATTTCTTTTGACCAAAATGTTGATGTTTTTTCGAAAATAATGAGAATGAGAACACTTTAAAAATCAAATCTGCACTATTGGTGTCTTAAAAACCGCACTAGTGAAATCTTACTTGTCATGAGATAAATCAGTTATGCGATGCTCGGTTTTTAATATGGGGTATATCCCTCGGGAAATATGATATCTTACCTCGGACCGTCCGGGCCCTCGGTAAGATATCTATATTCCCCTTAGCAAGATAGGATATATCCCAAATACAGAACCTCCCATAACCCTCATTTATCCCATGGTTGCAAGGATATAGATCGAATATCACCTGAAGATATATTTGATATGTGGATCAAGATATCATATTTTAGCAAAAAACAACCATCGAATATCACTTTTGAAACCATCAAATCTCACTTTTTCATATTAGAAATCTTGAAACCATCGAGTATCACTTTTTATATTAAAAGTGATATTCCATGGTTTCAAAAGTGATATTTGATGTTTTCGATTTTTTTTAATTTTCGTATACTTTACATCAAACAACTGATCAACAGAACAAAACAGTCTGGCATGTAAAGGAGAAAGCGAAATAGTCTAGTCTGCCGGAACAGTATGGGTTTCACATAAGTGATACAATAATGGCAATACGAATTGAAATTATCTGCAACTTTACCCATTGGATTCGTTATTTATTGAACCATAGCACATACACAGCTATTCGACAGATATGTTACTTTTAAATTAATAACATAAATAAACAGCACATTGCTTTTTTAGTCATTTATCAATGGTTCATAACTCACGTTCCAACCAACCTGTAAAGTGCCAAATTCACGTCTTGCCGCTCGTGTAAAATGAATGAGACCGTGAAATAAATAGTACATAGTTATGTAATACTGATTTCACTCACAATCATTCGCGTACAGGTTCACAACAAGACGACAAAAACGCCCGGCGCTATTGAATTTACACGTCAACGGGATTATAAAACAAGTCAGACGTGTCGAATGGAGCATAAAGTTACATGATTTGTTGCGCGCGCATCATGTTTCACGTACATGTACAGGTACAGGTTACTATTTGGTGCAATCTTAAGGTCTCTAGTTTCTTCACTTTTGAGCCACTTTACATTACATTTTCTTGATCTCTATTTGTATAGCAAACAGCCATATTTATTAATTTCAAGTTCAGTTAGCTTAATATATCTTTAAATAAGGTTACCACAGTACTCCTGGTTGTATGTATTGTCATATAGTTGGTAAGTCCTTGGTGGCACTTGGGGCCTAGTACTTGGTGTAACATCTTCACATATAGGTGGCGCAGTGGGTTTCACATGGCCACGTGGCAGAGTCTTATTATCTGCCTCACTAGAAGTGTCTTTCAGTGAAGAAGTGTCAAATTGTGAATGAGTGGAAATGTCCTTGAAAGGGGATATGTCATATTTCTTGTCATCTGAATAGTTATGAATTTCTGGATAGAGTCTGGCATCTGATTTTACTTTTTGCGCTAGTCTGTTGGTTGTTTTGTTGCTTGATTCTCTAAAGCTGTTCCTGGATCGGTCTTTTGATGAATGTATTGAAGGTGATTGCACAGTGTCAATAATACGAGGAGGCCTTTTAGGAGCAAAGGCCTTTTTGGGTGTTTTTACACCTATGTCGACAGTGCCCATGTATGTGCTGGGAGGTCTTCTAGGTTTTCTGTGTACAGATCCTAATTCATGATCTTTATCATCAAAAATTGATACCTTCCCAAGTTTAATGACACCATTGGTGATTTCAGATGGCTGATAAGACATCTGAGATTTTTGTGCGATCTGAACTGGTTTAATAATGGGAGGTTCATTGTTTGTTAGTTCAATGCCGAGTGTTACAATATCAATGGGGTCTGTAGTATCTGTTATGATATTGAGCTGTGTCAACATGCTATCAGCAATTGCTTTTGACAGTCCAAGGTCATTGAGTTCTATATCTTTAGGCTCAGTTTGCTCAATTTTATGGTGGTCAATTGAGTTTGTTAGGTCATCAAAATGTTTATGAACTGTTTTAAGAATTGCTTCCTTATCTCTCTGGACCTTTTCTTTAATTGTTTCAGTGTTATCTATGATTAGTTTCTTTTGTGATTCAGCTGTCTCAAATGCTTCTTGAATATGTGATGTCATTTGTTGCCATGGTGATATTTGATTTCGAATCTTTTTGATGTATGTCTCTGCGGCTGTTTTGATCTCAATACATTTATGTCCATTATGGCTTGTGACATGGCAATCAAGGCAGATGATCATATTATCAACTTCACATAGGAATTTCAGGGGCTCTCTAGGGTGGAGTCTACAATTTCTTGTTAAACTAGAGTTATTCATAAGCTGTACTGCTGAGAGTATATCAGTTTTATAATCCCCAGTTAAGTCAACCATTTTATGTGATTCCGTTTTTCGTGTTGATTTATGTATCTTAGTGCATCTGTCGCAAAATCCTCTAGTGCATTCTATACAAACAGCACTGGGTTGTTTTATTTCATCTCCACATTTGTCACAGTTAATGCTCCTTTCTCTCGCGATATCTAGAAGCGTGTTCATAATAAAGCTTGATCGGAGGTGTTTTGGGCCACCATGGGGCAACATTGACTCCTCTCGGCAGACTGGACATGTGATGAATCTTGCCCGGTGGTTACTCCTCACCATTGTCTCTAGGCAACAGAGGCAGAATGAATGTTGGCATGGCAACAGTTTTGGTTCATTTAGATTATCCATACATATTTCACAAATCAGAATATCTCTGAATTTATCAATTGGAATTGACGATGAAGCCATTGTTAGAGAATGACAGTCTTCCTTTTATTTATGACATTTCACATGTAAATTCGATTCTCTACAGTTAAGTATAGTCCTTTATTCACTACTGATAAAATTATCTGACTGTCCAAATTCGTACTCTGTATTTACATTGGTGTTGAAGTGTATGCACTTATAACCTTCATACTGATACTGATACACCCGTATTTACATAAACTCATGAATTCCATGTTACTTCAAAGTACATTTTGGTTTATTGCATTGATCTTTATGTCAAGTTCAATTTGACATCAAATAACCAAACTGTAGGTGTAGTGCACAACATAATTTACAGGGCAATAAACATAGCTTACAGCTAATTTCATAGCTATCTTAGTTTTGAATCTAAAAAATTGATTAAAATTCAATTAACCAATTTATTACGTACCAATTAGGGATCAATGTCATATATCTTTCCAATCTCCTCTAAAGTAACCTGTCTATTTCATAAATAATATAATAATAACCTTTAACATTTCATCAACAAAAATAACTATTCTGCTTTCACTTCCTCTATTTAGTCCTCCTTTCATGCCATTCACACTCTCATATGGTTAATAAACAAATTACAAAATAGAAGGTTACGGAATATTCTTAATTTCCCCTCAACCCAAACTAAATAATTAATATCAAGATCATGTGATATGCAGTTTATGTTTTATATTTAAGGAATAAAGACTGAGATTTTATGATTTATTGCGTAATAAATGACAGAAAATTTTATTCTGTTCATTTTCTGACCCTTTGCCAATGGCCAGAATAAAATTTGAGGTCATATATTTGCCATAGATCATAGAATTTAGGTCTTTGTTATGATATTCTAATATGAACAGACGAGAAATACACAACTATTTGCATTTTTAAATTTTTATTCTCGTATATATTCATTGCATCAATGTGTTGTCAACAAAGAACTCTGGTGCAGTGGATGTGGTTTCATGGTAGCAATCACATTGATCACTTGATTAGTGTTTAATATTTATCTTTTTCAAAAATGCATTTCTAGCACATATTTGGTGCAGAAATTTTAATTGTATTTATATTGCACATGTAAAAAATACACAAAATATACATATTTATTTTCTCTATATTCTTCTAGAAATGCACTCAGGATCCCCGTACAAAAGGTATGCCAATGAGCAGTTTCCTATTGAAGCCCATGCAAAGGATCACAAAGTACCCTCTATTGGTGGGGAAGATCTTGGAGTATACCCCCATAGAACACCCAGACAACACAAACATGCAAGAAGCCTTGCGTGCAGCAGGTAAAATTAATAAATAAATAAAAGTTATTGTGGATTAGAACTACGAACCATTTTAAACCACAAAGAGCAAAATTGATGAAAGAGCAACACAAATCAAGATTTCTTGTATTAAACCACATCAACATGAAATTTTCTTCATATTTTTTAAAAAGCATTGACGTTTCTGAAATACATCTGGAAAAAACAAAAATACAGATTTAGAAGGCAAGAGGTAAAGGAACAGACTTACTAACTTGGAAAATAAAGTTTAAATGCAGGCAAAAACTACAGGTAAATGGACAGTGTTAATGTGTGTTAACAAAACTCTGTTTTCCAGAGGAGTTGTGTAAACAGGTGAATGAGGGAGTGAGAGAGAAGGAAAACTCTGACCAGTTAGAGTGGCTACAGAACCATGTGCTTTGTGAGGGCCTTCCTGAGGTAGGGGATAATGTTCATATTCAATGACATATTCTTTGATTTGTAAAAGTCTCTGTTGTGCTGTACTCTGCAATTAATGCCGTGGTCACATACTGACATATGCTCCGATATTGAACACTGGCGCCTGGCCAGGACTATTTTGTTCAAAACTGAATGCAATTTTGAACAAAATACTCATCGGCCAGGTGCCAGTACTGAAAATCAGAGCAAATGTGACTACAGCATTAGACAATCTAGACTTTCACTTACATCATTATAAATCAAACTTATTCTTTTCAGAAAATAACTTTTAATTCTGTCACCAATTGTTTGGGACCCCGGAAGCTTCTACATCATGGACCTATATTTAAGGTAATACTTTACTATACAATTTGTTATATATTTAAAGTGATGTCAACTTACAGCTTGTGCATTGACCGGTTAACCTGTTTAACTTGATTTCAAAGAAGATCTCGAAAGTTGAGAAAAATAAATTTGGAAAATGATATATTTTAGACATTGATTTTTCTTATAGCTTCTTAAAAATGAACCCTGTGTTGTTTCAGGCTAAAAGTAATAAAGAGTTAGAAGGATTTCTGTTTAATGATTTCCTTCTATTGGCTCAACCCTCAAAGCCAAATGTTTCCAGTCTCTTCAAGTGGGATGCCAAGGCAACTGTGCAATATAAAATGTATAAAACTGTAAGTGAAGTTTTCTGAATTATTTGGATTCAATATTGAATGTTATTTACAAAAATGAAATTCTGCAGTTTTGCAAAACATATCTTGTGAATTTTTACACCAAGTAGGACTACTACTTTACCATAGCTACCGTTCCATACTCTGAAACTTACAGAGATAGTAGTAATATGTCTAAATTACAAAATGTAAAAGAAATTATTATTGTATCTCAAATATTTTATATCGCTCTAATATTTTTGCTGGATTTAGAAGTCATTGGACATGTGTGCTGCACATTCTGTGAGAATGTCATTAGATTATATTGAGAAATAAATAAAACTAGAAAGAAATTATGAGAATTTTTTCTATCAAGTTCCCTCGTATATAAATTGATTTATGAATCATTTGATTAATATTTTTAGCCGATATTTCTCAATGAAATAGCAGTGAAGAGCTTAAGCAATACGGATGAAGACTCCAACCAGTTCTCTATCTCTCATATAGACAAGGTATACAACCTGAAGGTCAAAACTGAGAATGAAAGGTAAGTCAGTGTTGTGATATTTTTAGTGAGCTTTATTTCCTTTTTGTGAATTCGGCAGAATTGATGGGCTTCCAACAAAATGTTAAAATAATATAACATAATAAACCAGGAGACTTGTGTAAGTCACTCACTTCACTTTAATTGAAATATGTATAGGATGCTGTCATATATTTGAAAATCTAACATTTATTTTTTTAGAGACAATTGGGTAAAGAAATTACAAGAATCTTCCAGATTTTACTCAGATACTGAGAAACAGAAACGAGAACATGCACACGCACGTAAGTTTTAATATCTGGGATAGCACTATGAATGAAAATTAGCTTTTTAATTTCTGATGGTATTTCACTCTCAATCAATACCACTTTGATGTGGCAAGATAAGTCTGATACAAATCAATTTATTTAGACTCTCTATTGATTTCAAAAAATGAAGCATGAATTGCAAAGTGTATGTAAATGTAAAGTATGCAAAGATTATGCTTCATGCATGATCATTATGCTTGGTCTGTTGTTTTTTAAGTTAATTTTTGATATGCGATTAACTAAGTGAGGGGTTGGTATTTTTGAAAATTTTTGTAATGATTTTTTTTATTTATGTCACCACCAGAAATGGTGACATATTGTTATGGTCTCCCAACTTTATTGTGGCCCGTGTTCGTCAGTTGGTGTTTGGAGTCAGAGGTGTTTGGCATCTGTAATAGCATTTGGTGGTCAGCATCTGTAGCAAATGGCAGATGGTGACATTTTGCATGTAATTATGCCTTGTTTTTGTTTAGAGCTGATACTTTGGAGAGATGTTTTAACATTTGTCTATAAAACATATAGAATTGCACTAACCTGATAAAAAATCTTGTTATTATATCTAATATGCATTTACAATAACTCATTTAATCAACATTGTATAACAACAATATAAACACTTGTACAACAGTACACAGACAGATCTCAGATGGAAGTTGTGGTCGCTTACTGGTGATAATATGTGAAGGGATTAATTTAGCATCTAGCGATAAGAATGGTAAGACGCTGCCAACAAGTTGGGTGGTTCAGAACAATGTTTTGGCACATTTTGACATTGCTCAAATAAATATCACATTTTATGTGTATACACTGGTAGTTTACAGTCTGCAAATTAGAGTTACAGTTAAACATGTAAAGTGAAACACCTCTAGAAGTGGAACACATTTGTCAGTGGAACACTTTTCAGAGTCGTAAGACCAACTGACTCAGAATGTTAAATGAACCTGTATCAGTTGGACACCTCCGAGTGGAACATTTTAGAAGTACCAAAGGTGTTTCACTTAGTCAGGGTTTACTGTAGTTTAATTTATGTCTTAGAATTTGAACACCTGAGATCCTGAAATAAACCCAGACATTTAAATGTGATATTATTTATTTGACCAGTGTCGAGAGTAATTCATGCATTATTGGTTTTATAAGGATTATCTATTATATTAGATATTGCTATCCCCCCCCCCTTTCCTTGTTTTCCCCTCATGATTAAGGGTATAGCTTTCCAATGTGTTGATGTGCAGAAATCAACCCCTTTAGCAACATGTGATTATTTAGGTTATTTAGGTGCTCATTCACAAAAACCTGTTTGCTTAGTTTACTATAGCAACTGCACTATACACTGATATTCTCCCCTTCAGTTCGAAGAGCTCCAGCTGTTGGTCGTCTGCTGGTCGTTGTTGAAGAGGGCATTGACCTAATGCCAAGTGATGAGAAAGATGGTAGGAATTTGATAACATACAGAAAACTTTACAATTATTTATAATACACAATGGAAATAAAGAAATAAAATTCTTTAATTAAAATTTAATCACTTTCAAAAGCTTGGAGCTTTTTGTAAATTTTACGTCTTATTCCACACAGGAGTTTCCTGTCCAAAGCACTCAAGTCGACTTAGTTGATAGAGTCCCTTTGCACAATCACATTTTCTTAAAATTTTAGTAAAATAGCTATTGAAGTCATATTGTTTCTTTGCACTACATGTACAGTACATTCACTTCCTATGACCTTTCACTCCTATTGTAAGGTATTATATACATTGATGTGTTTGAAACAAATAAAGTGAACCAAAGTTGTATATTTACATTGTACAAGTAAACTATATTTTTTAACATATTATCATTGAATAA